CAGTGTTCATCTTGACATGCGCAGATGTGTTCGTTGGCAAAATAGGTAGGATAGTGAAATTTGAATGGTGCTCAGTATGATATGAAGAATTATTCAGATCGTAATTAATGCGTCGGAAAATAAAGTGGCCGCGTTCGGGTCGACTTTGCGGCTCACTGGCGCACTGATTGAAATGGAATCCAGCTCCTTTGATCTAATTTGTCAAATACGTCGTGGTGGCGGATGTGAAACACTTTCGCTGTTTCGCAGACGTTACTAACGGGCGTTAAATTATCATGACTATATGGCTACCGTGCGGCTCAAAGCCGCTTTGAAATTGCTTCATATCTTTTCTCTACTAAAATGACCAGACACAAGAGTCCATAACCAGGAGCAACTACCTTTTATGTACTCGTGTCACAGCGTTTTTACTCAGTTTATTTTTAGAAAAATTTTAGCGCGAATTTAGAATATCTCAGTTTAAGTCCCACACTGATCAGCCAGCAAAACCTTCAAGACTCCTACAGACTATGATGACGTTTTGGTCTCATTGTTCATCATATACACTTCGAATGTGCTTATAGACGGATGGAGCTTCCAGTTTCGTGGAAAAAACTGCTCTAAAATGTATCTAAAAATAAACCGATTTGTGAAAACTCTGTGACAAAGTCGTTCTCTCCGGGTTATGGGCTCCTGCCAGACAACATTAAAAACTGCTGACATTTTCTCATAGCACAGTTCTTTATCGTGGCCTGATAAATTTTAATTGGCTCTGTGCTGCACGCTACGCAACTTATCAACTTTTGTACGTATCCCTTTTTTTCACTGTCCTGGTCAATAGCTAGCCGCAGTATGCCTTCCCTCCCTCCTGCGATCAATGTTGTAGAATATATGCAGGTTTCTAAAGTGAAGCCTAACTCAAACTAAAGCTCTGGTTTGATCAACCACATCACCTGCAATCGTACTTCCAAAAAACTCATCCAATATAATCACCACAAAACAACATTGTCTGGGAGAGAGAGAGGGGGTGGGCCTCTACTCCCCTGGGGAGAAGGGGAGGGGGGTCTGTTGCTGCTTTTTGGTTTTGCACATGTTATATCTGGAAAATGGTGAACAAACAAAAAGAAAATGTTTGTCACTATGTTTCTGAACTACAGGAGAAACCAAATTGCCTAATTTTTAGGGTGACATTCTTGCAAAAAACATTTAATGGTATTGATCACTCCAGAAAATACCATAACATACCATAATGCTCTTTGTTTGTCACCCCAAATTTTGCATAAGCATTGTTTTCAGTTTCTCTTGGGGCCATTTTAACTCCCAAGAGAAACTGAAGACAATGCTTATGCAAAATTTTGGAGTGACAAACAAAGAGCATTATGGTATGTTATGGTATTTCTGGAGTGGTCAATTTTGTCTGAAGCTAAAATTAAAAAAGCTGAAAACCCAAGGTCTTATGGTTATTTATGACAATGGAACCACAGAAGGCTCTTTCCAAAGAGGTCCAGACATATGTAATTTTTGGAAGAGAATGAATGGCATGCTGATTTTCTAACAACAACCGATATGTGTAATTCCATGATGTCACTAGCAGTTATTCGCATACTCTGAATAGTATCGTACATACAGCAAACATCGAGATTTAAAGCACTTCTTAATATATTTTAACTGAATGACAATCACACAACAGAAGGGGGTACCTTTCCCAATACAAAGCAAGGCTGCAAATGAATTTCACATTTTCCCCAACGTTGCATGTACCTTGAAATGACTTGTTAAAATTTGCCATGTTGTGCATTTAGTATATCAATAGTTATTGTCAAACTAAGAAACTGTGAACACCTGAAATATAAGACAAATGGTAATTGTGTAGTGACTTACAGCTGTGCTTCTTGTAGTTTATTCTTCTAATTTCTGAAGGCCTTTTCCTTGCAACACAATAATATTCCAAAATAATTATTCTGGTGTTCATCGTTTCCTTAGTTTCACAGTACACTTGTGAAAATAATATTGGAATGAACAATAAACCAAGTAATAAATTAATATTTACCAGTAGTAACTATCACTTTGTAAGACACATTAAAACTTATCATAATATATGAAAGCCTTGATCAATTTCTTAACCACATACTTTGAGTCATCCAAAGATGATGCATTTAATAGGATGCACAGTCCTGGATCCTAAGCCAATGTTTTAAATGGTAAAACACACAGCAATATTACTCATTGCTTGTAGTCTATGGGGTGCCATTACCGCCAAAATTCAGCTATCGTTACTTTCGTAAATGGTGCCTCCAATTTTGTTTATGGTGCCTTCGTTTTCATAAATGGTGCCTCTGTTTTCATAAATGGTGCCTCTGTTTTTGTAAATGGTGCCTCCAATTTTGTTTATGGTGCCTTCGTTTTCA